CGACCCCCAACTCGACCCTCCAACTCGACCCCCAACTCGACCCCATCTCGACCTCGACCTCCACCACGACCCGCAACTCGACCCCCCAACTCGACCCCCCTCTTTTCCTCCTGGTTGCCCCACTTGTAACACTAACGGCGCTCTTGTGCAATCATCCCCTGCAACGCCCCTGCAGCACGAGTGTTTACCCGCCCTCTGGAAACACTCGTCATAAACTCCCCTGAGAGAGAGAGCACAACAAGAAGATTAAAGTCTGCAGACAAGGCACGATGGCTTTTATACAGGCCATAGCTCTGAGCCCCAGCCGTAAAGGGGCGTGGGCGAAGGACAGATGGTAAGAATGACAAAGATTTTCTCTCCGTTTTTTTTTTTTTTTTTTTCGTTTTTTTTTTTGTTGTTGTTTTTATGGAGGGGGCGAAGAGAGGGTGGGGTGGGGGATAGGGGGAGGGGTTGGTTTGAATACGGGCACAGCATCAGATTTCGTTTCCTTTTCACTTCAATTCCGATGGTTGTTTCCCCCTCCCGAGGAGAGAATGGGGAAGAAAGAGAAGGTGTGGAAAGCTGTGTCATATTTTTTTTTCCTTCCCTTGATTTTTTTTTTCTAGGATTTTTCTTTTTCTTTTTTTCTTTTTTAGAGGGAATGTCCTTTTTTCTAACCCTGATTAATAGAGTATATTTACATTTCCATTCGTAGCGTGATCATAACAAAGGGGAGACGCAGAGGAAAACGATGACGCAGACGAAGAAAATAAAAAAGGACAATAACCGGAGTGTACACAGTCGTTCCTTCGCAACTGCACACGACGTACTCGGTACAATCACGTTTGATATTGCTCACTCAAAAAAAAAAGGACAAAAAAGAGTCAAGGGCAATCACAGTTTCTGAAATTACACCCAACTGCAGCGACCTTCCACCATTGTATTTTTATTGCTCCTTCTACTCGGGCGTGTGTGCAAGGAATTCCTTTTACCGCATCGCGTATGCAACTTGCATCCGGCGGGCGTGAAGGCGACAACATGGAGAACTGAGATATAATGAAGCAGATATACTCGCTATATCATTGAAATAAACCGTACATATGCTTACTATAATCTCGTATACTTATGCCTCTGTTTTTATATCTATTTGCTTCTATATATTCTTGTATCTGTCTTTCCATACATATATTTCCCTTCTAAACTTGCTTGCCTATGTTATTATATCTATTTGCTTCTATCTATATATACTGTCTTGTATCTGTCTTTCCATACATATATTTCCCTTCTAAACTTGCTTGCTTAGAAAAAAGTATAATGTATACACATATCAAGAAATAAATGATAGATAAATAATTGAGCACCATTTTTGGCCTTCTGTTGCTGAAAACTTTGTATAATTGGTTAAATGAACTCGCTTAACTTGTGACTGCTCTGCTAATAGCATTTCCACTATTCCAAAATTAATTAACGCATCAAAAAAAGAAAAGAAAAAAATAGATTTATACAAAGCAGTCATAAATGTTGATCATTCTTGTTTTTAATATCACAATTTATAGCTCATGTGCCAGTGGTTCTACCTCAAAAAAAAGAATGAAAGGTAAAGACAAGCGCCCTAACAGAATGCAAAGCCAGCTACAGAGGTTCCTTCTACGATCCACGGCAAACCTGTCCGAAACCTGGCTGAATGTTCCGAAAGACAGATAGAGAGGAGGATAGGGACAGATAGATAGATAGAGAGAGAGAGAGAGAGAGAGAGAGAGAGAGAGAGAGAGAGAGAGAGAGAGAGAGAGAGAGAGAGAGAGAGAGAGAGAGAGAGAGAGAGAGAGAGAGAGAGGAGGAGAGAGAGAGAGAAAGAGAGAGAGAGGGAAGGAGGAAGAGAGAGAGGGGGGGGAGGGAGGAAGAGAGAGATGGGGGGAGGGAGGGAGAAGGAGAGGGGGAGGGAGGAGAGAGAGAGGAGAGGGAGGAAGGGAGGGAGAGAGAGGGAGGAAGGGAAAGAGAGATAGAGGGAGATGAAGGAGGAGAGAGGGAAAGGGAGGGTGGGAGGGATGTACGGAGATGAGAGAGAGAGAGGGGGGGGGGGAGAAAGAAAGAGAGAAACAGAGAAAGAGAAAAAGAAATAAGCGTTTTTTTTTTAAAATACCCCCACCATGGAAGGTTTCTTACCGTCAGGCACGATATGCACGAGTCCCGTTTTAATCCTTCGTGTCTTTTCTCTTTCTCTCCTTATTTCTTCTCTTCTCTCTCCTATCCTTTTTTTATTGATGGGCGTAGAGGGAAGCGAGGGGAGGCGTAAGCGAGGGCGGATCTGCCGGCGTACCATCTTGGGTTTGATCAATACAGGCACTAGTTTTTGGATCTTGGCGAAGTTAGTCCTCTCACTTTTATGTCGGTTTTCACATCAAAAGTTTTCCTTTTTTCTTTTTTCTTTTTTACTTTATATCCTGTTGCTCTTTGTCGCTTGATACACGAAGGAGGAAAAAAAAGGATTAATGATTTTAAAAAAGAAGATCAAGGACCGTTGTTTCAGGAAAGAAAAGCGAAACAGTTAAATATTTTATCTTCGAAACAACCCGCTTGTCAACTTTAATTAAATTCCTTAAAATGAGACGGCCACCGAGGAGGAAAATGTAGGATATGCCAATGAGATGTCGTTTGTGCCTTGCCATTGTCCTGTCATTTTCTGTTTTAGTCAACGGCGTAGCAACACAAACGTGCGATCTTTTACAATCAGTGAAAATGCCACGTGCTGTCAGATGTGCGATCTTTACAATCAGTGAAACGTGCTGGGTGTGCATCTTTACAATCAGTTGCTGCTGTCAGGTGTGTCTTTACAATCAGTGTTGCCACGTGCTGTCAGGTGTGCGATCTTTACAATCAGTGAATTGCACGTGCTGTCAGGTGTGCGATCTTTACAATCAGGGAAATTGCCACGTGCTGTCAGGTGTGCGATCTTTACAATCTGTGAAATTGCCACGTGCTGTCAGGTGTGCGATCTTTACAATCAGTGAAATTGCCACGTGCTGTCAGATGTGCGATCTTTACAATCAGTGAAATTGCCACGTGCTGTCAGGTGTGCGATCTTTACAATCAGTGAAATTGCCACGTGCTGTCAGGTGTGCGATCTTTACAATCAGTGAAATTGCCACGTGCTGTCAGGTGTGCGATCTTTACAATCAATGTGAAATTGCCACGTGCTGTCAGGTGTGCGATCTTTACAATCAGTGAAATTGCACGTGCTGTCAGGTGTGCGATCTTTACAATCAGTGAAATTGCCACGTGCTGTCAGGTGTGCGATCTTTACAATCAGTGAAATTGCCACGTGCTGTCAGGTGTGCGATCTTTACAATCAGTGAAATTGCCACGTGCTGTCAGGTGTGCGATCTTTACAATCTGTGAAATTGCACGTGCTGTCAGGTGTGCGATCTTTACAATCAGTGAAATTGCCACGTGCTGTCAGGTGTGCGATCTTTACAATCAGTGAAATTGCCACGTGCTGTCTGTGCGATCTTTACTGTGAAATTGCCACGTGCTGTCACGATCTTTACAATCAGTGAAATTGCCACGTGCTGTCAGGTGTGCGATCTTTACAATCAGTGAAATTGCCACGTGCTGTCAGGTGTGCGATCTTTACAATCAGTGAAATTGCCACGTGCTGGTGTGCGATCTTTACAATCAGTGAAATTGCCGTGCTGTCAGGTGTGCGATCTTTACAATCAGTGAAATTGCCACGTGCTGTCAGGTGCAGTTGGTGCCGATCCAATCGAAATTGCCACGTGCTGTCAGTGTGCGATCTTTACAATCAGTGAAATTGCACGTGCTGTCAGGTGTGCGATCTGTGAAATTGCCACGTGCTGTCAGGTTGCCCAATCTGTGAAATTGCCACGTGCTGTCAGTGTGCGATCTTACAATCAGTGAAATTGCCACGTGCTGTCAGGTGTGCGATCTTTACAATCTGTGAAATTGCCACGTGCTGTCAGGTGTGCGATCTTTACATCAGTGAAATTGCCACGTGCTGTCACGATCTTACAATCAGTGAAATTGCCACGTGCTGTCAGGTGTGCGATCTTTACAATCAGTGAAATTGCCACGTGCTGTCAGTGTGCGATCACAATCAGTGAATTGCCACGTGCTGTCAGGTGTGCGATCTTTACAATCTGTGAAATTGCCACGTGCTGTCAGGTGTGCGATCTTTACAATCAGTGAAATTGCCACGTGCTGTCAGGTGTGCGATCTTTACAATCAGTGAAATTGCCACGTGCTGTCAGGTGTGCGATCTTTACAATCAGTGAAATTGCCACGTGCTGTCAGTGTGCGATCTTTACGTGAATTGCGTGCTGTCAGGTGTGCGATCTTTACAATCATGAAATTGCCACGTGCTGTCCGATCTTTACAATCAGTGAATTGCCACGTGCTGTCAGGTGTGCGATCTTTACAATCAGTGAAATGCCACGTGCTTGTATCTTTACAATCTGTGAAATTGCAGGTGTGCGATCTTTACAATCAGTGAAATTGCCACGTGCTGTCAGGTGTGGCGATCTTTACAATCAGTGAAATTGCCACGTGCTGTCAGGTGTGCGATCTTTACAATCTGTGAAATTGCCACGTGCTGTCAGGTGTGCGATCTTTACAATCAGTGAAATTGCCACGTGCTGTCAGGTGTGCGATCTTTACAATCAGTGAATTGCCACGTGCTGTCAGGTGTGCGATCTTTACAATCTGTGAAATTGCCACGTGCTGTCAGGTGTGCGATCTTTACAATCAGTGAAATTGCCACGTGCTGTCAGCGATCTTTACAATCAGTGAAATTGCCACGTGCTGTCAGGTGTGCGATCTTTACAATCAGTGAAATTGCCACGTGCTGTCAGGTGTGCGATCTTTACAATCTGAAATTGCCACGTGCTGTCAGGTGTGCGATCTTTACAATCAGTGAAATTGCCACGTGCTGTCAGGTGTGCGATCTTTACAATCAGTGAAATTGCCACGTGCTGTGCGAACAATCAGTGAAATTGCCACGTGCTGTCAGGTGTGCGATCTTTACAATCAGTGAAATTGCCACGTGCTGTCAGGTGTGCGATCTTTTGAAATTGCCACGTGTCAGGTGTGCGATCTTTACAATCAGTGAAATTGCACGTGCTGTCAGGTGTGCGATCTTTACAATCAGTGAAATTGCCACGTGCTGTCAGGTGTGCGATCTTTACAATCAGTGAAATTGCCACGTGCTGTCAGGTGTGCGAT